CTCAGTGGTTGAGCATCAACCTATGAACCAGGAGGTCACGGTTCGATTCCCGGTCAGGGCACACGCCCGGGTTTCAGGCTTAATCCCCAGTGTGGGGTGTGCAGGAGGCAGCCGATCAACCACTGAGCCACGCCGGCCGGGCGAGGGGGTCTTTTTGGATGAATGAGAGAGAAATAACTCTTAGTGGACAAAGTAACTGGCACTTCATCGTGGGGGCTGCCGGGGACGGTGGCTGTCCCAGATGCCGGCCTAACCTGTTCCCTCCTCCCCTTCAAATGTCACCTCCTCAGCGTGGCCTTCCAGGTCTCCCCACTCAGACCGTCAGCTCCAGTCCTCAGCCCGCCTCCTCTCTCTCTCTCTCTCTTTTAAAAAATATATCTTACTGATTTTTTACAGAGAGGAAGGGAGAGGGATAGAGAGTTAGAAACATCGATGAGAGAGAGAGACATCGATCAGCTGCCTCCTGCACAACCCCCACTGGGGATGCGCCCACAACCAAGGTACATGCCCTTGACCGGAATCGAACCCGGGACCCTTCAGTCTGCAGGCCGACGCTCTATCCACTGAGCCACACCGGTTAGGGCCCGCCTCCTCTCTTGCTTAATTTCCTCCAGTGCTCTTTCCACCCACCAAGTACGACAGTCAGTTACGGGGAGACGGCAGGAATCCCTCTCTGCTTTATTCATGGTTCTATCTTACAAAAACCCACACTTTACAAACACCTGGATAGTGTGTGCTCGTCGCTGTTGTAAGCACTTGACTGACACCAACTCATTTGATCCTCAGCAAACCAATAAGGGGGGGGGGGAGGGAGGGACACTATTCATCATTCCCATTTCACAGATGGGGACACTGAGGCACAGAGCTGGAGAGGACTGGCTTGAGGTCACGTGGTTCGGGAGTGGCCGTCTGGCTTCTAGCTTCTGGCTTCTAGGTTCCTAACCACGTGGGCTGCCCTCTCTCTCACCAGAAGGTGTTAAATCAGTATTTGTTGAATGGATGGATAGGGGTGTCAGGTTAATGGCTGAGGGAGTGAACTAGTTAAATGGGCTGGTCCGGAAAGGAGCGGGTGCAACAGTGAATGAATGAATGGGGGATTGAAGCAATGAAGGAATGAGTGAGTAAATGGAGGGACTGGCCCTAGCCGGTGTGGCTCAGTGGATAGAGCGTCGGCCTGTGGACTCAAGGGTCCCGGGTTTGATTCTGGTCAAGGGCACAGGCCCA